TGTTATGATATTTTTGGAGGATATATAGATAACATCCCAAGAGGAAGGAACTATAGTACAGTAGCTCAGTAGTGAATTTGAATAACTAAGGATGATCTAAACAAATTGAGAACCTTTGTAAATCAATTTTAAGTGTTACAAGAATGTATAACTATACCAGTTACAAATTGGTATAGTATGCATATGCGTGTAACACCATTTCTAAAAGAAAATATTATTTAAATGATACTTTAATGAAGTCATTTTTTAATTTTCCAAGTGTTTTTTATCATATCTGGGACAAATGGGAAAATTTACAGAAAAAGGCATTTATAATTCAGTTCAAAATATTCGTAGTGACTTAAAATTTCAACACAAAACTTATATTTGACTTTTCTAGACGTGATAAAATTGTACAAACATTTGAAACATTATAGAGCTTTTTATAGACATTTTAATTTTGTGAATAATGTTTATTTGGTAAGTACTTTGTAGGTACAATTGTTGGACTAAACAGAAATGCTTGAAAATTGAACAGGAGGTTCATTAGAAGTCACACTTTATGGTCAAAACAAAAAAAATTTAATTTTATGTGGTATTTGTTTTTTATAAGAATTTTAATATCAAATTTGACGAACATTGTTTTGGTAAAAAATGATGTGGAACGAATCTAGTTACTGGTCAATACCAATCGTACCAATATATATTTATTTTACTATAATTGTACATATATTTTGTTAAAAAACCATTACTATCTTATACCGCAAAATAAAATAAAATTTAATTTTATCAAAAACTATTTATTCAGTAATAATAGTGATAGCACTGAACTTATAATTTGTGCTATCCTCTCTTTAGAAAATTATTATAAACAAAATCCTTCCCGAAAAAAAATTCTACGTGCGTTATTGATTTCCGTATATTATTTAAATATCTGTATTATGATTACGAGTTTCCTTCATATTATCTGATATCAACTAAACCTAAATAGTCAATACGAATACAATAGTAATCGTTTATTTATATACTTATTTCATAATTTATAAAGCCATTAGCTCAAATTATGTTTGCAGTGGGTCAAGTATCTCGTCTTCCAATCACCCATCTCTAAATAGGTGTCCTAGATTAATTTCATTTAAATTAATTAATTAAATATGTGTATTTGTTTCATATCTACGAACTACAATTCCTAAATGTTTTATCTAAAACAGAAAAAATATACAACAATTTTCCTATTAGGTATACAAATTATTTTTTAATGTATTAATAGTTTTCTTAATAACTGTGCATAATAATAATATTCTATGTAAATGTCTCTATGTAAATGTAAACTCGAAGAAAATCATTTAAACTAAAAGACAAAACGCCCAGTAGTGCAGAGATTAAAAATACTTAAGTACATAAACTTAACAGGATTAAATATTATCCGACTATTATAATATAATATTTAATAAAGATTTTATCACATTTTTTTTAAACGAAAGTATTATAATATTATCATAACATATAATTGGTATATAGTTTAAAATTGAATAATTTTACTCCTTTCTTAATGATCATTATGGCATAATGTAGATTCAGTTTAGATTCTGAATGCACCAAGAAATGCATTAGTTTTACAATGATGTAATCATAGTGAACCAATTATTTTCTACCAGAAATTTTACACTCAGGAAAATCAGTAAAATTAAATGCTGGATCCTATAAAAATTTAGTTGGTACCGATGAATTTTGGTACAAGTTCTAACAATAATACATTGTTATATAAATTGCTGAAATTTGAAATGTATAATTTTAATACAATTTTAATTGATTATTCTTGAACTTTGAAAAACACATTTATTATTATATAGTGATCAGTGATCTAGTTAAACGTCAACTACGTTTATTTTGGCAAAATAAACTTAAAAACACAATGAATTATAATATATATTAATAGGTATTGTTTCCATATGAAATTCGAATTTATGCATACATGTTTTAAAAATATACGAACATTGTTTATATATTGTATAATGTAGTATAATGTTAACTTTATTCAGCATTTAATAATTTATACATTTTTTTATCGGTTTGGTTATTACTCGTGATAATAGAATTATTACAATACGTCCAATAAGTTATAATAACGTTTATTACCTAGTTTATTATGTAATACAAACCCTATAACAAACTAAATTAAAAATTTTAGATGTTGCTAGGATGCAATCCGAAAGTATTCTGAAATAATAATAAAAATTTACAACTAAAATAAAAATATTGTAAAACAATATTTTTTCAGTGATGCACGTCAAAATTAATCGTAAAAAAGAGGTGATACCACAACAAAAACACTTCACCTACAACTACGTGTAAAAAAAAAATCACCAGTTATTACGTATCTCGTAAGTGTTCATATAGCATCATATTGTTGTGATGTCATTTGTGGTACTAAGTAAAATTTTCGATTTAGTTATCAAGAACAAATACAATTTTCCTAAACAGCTATAATAGTAAATAGAGAGGAAAGTTATACAATGTACAAATTATTTTATTATAATAATGCTGCATACATATACTTAAATAAATAAATAAATACTTAAAATACTTTACATCTTCTTAAATACTGTTATGACATCTGTTTAGGAAATTTGATTTGAAACACGAGATACGTAATAACTGGTGATATTTTTTTTTTGCTTAACCTTTTTTTTATACGCAATTGTTGGTGAAGTGTTTTTGTTGAGGCATAATTATTATAAAAAAAACTTCGTTTTTATAAGGTCATTATAATATTATATTATAAAGTACTTGTATTGCAACAGACTTATAATGATGTGGTAATTGAATTTACCAGCTTTTGCAGGATGTATAAAAAATAAAATAAATATATATATTTATATAACAGTCTATTTGTGTATTTTTTGTTTCTAAATACAATTATATCTACATGTTATCTACGATATAATATTACTTAATAAAATAATATAAGTGTAGGTTGTAGGTAGTAGTCGCCAGAATATTTATATAAATGATATATATTTATGTACGACTCACAATTAGAATTACAATCGGTAAAAGTAGTTAATAAACAAAAACATTATAAATAACTTTAAAAAAAAGAAACCATCCCTAACGGAATACGGTTAAACATAATTTAAAATGCTGTGATATCATAACAATTTGAAATTTAAATACTTTTTTGACCACTAAAGATCGCCAATTATCCACTGGGCTAAAAAATAGGTCATAAAACAATAAAAACGTTGATAATTTCAAATAGCTATTTGGCAGAATATTTTAAAAATTGTACCTCATCTAGAATATAATATTAAAATATTTGTTAACATTTTCAGATCTCTTTATTTATTTTTATCGAATTATAATACAGAGTGATCAACATAACGTAATCATTAGATATCTCAGAAAGTATTAACTTTTTCTTAATTTATTATTTTAATAATTTCAAGTTCTTTCAAGTTCAAAATTTTAAATTTCGGTTATTTTTTGTCACCTCTTTAAAGAGTGAAACAACTGCTACCTACTATAGATTTTCAAATGGCAACCTATACTAAAAATTCTATTAATAGATTAAGAATTATGTTTAATTCAATTTTAGTGTTGAAAATTTTTTAGTCAACGCGTTTACGTGATGTTCCACGTTTAAGTTTAGTTAAGAACAGAATAGTGAAACTAATAAAACGCCTTACGCCATGCTGTAACACAAATGATGACCCACTACTCTTCCCCCGACAAAACATAAACAACTGAATACCTTGTTAACGGGTTGGCAAAAATTAAAAATGTTAATACCAAAGTTGATTTACACTAGTACTCAATTTATTTATGGAATTTTGTATATTGCCATTTAAAATTTAAAAGTAGGTAGTGATTTCACCCATTAAAATAAGAGCGACAAAAAATAACATTTTAGAACTACTTTTTTCTCTTTAAATGATCTAAAAAGTTTCGAAATAATTGATACTTTCCGAGAAAATAAATATTTTACATTATGTTAATCATCATGTGTAACAAAAGAACCAAATTGAAAATAACAGAAACCGTCATTGTCTGCATTTTCCCGTTTTTCTCAACTATTAAGAAAACTTCAATGAGAAAAATCAAGAAATTTCCTCCTCAAAACACAAATGAAACAAAATTCTCTACGAGAAACTACCCCTGAAGTTAATAATTTGAACAATATTTCTAGTAAAACGTTTCACAGACAGAAAAGAGAAAAAAAACACATAGTAACCAATATATTCTTCGCCTCATTTAAAATCTAAAATATTAACACAAAAAAATTAAAAATTTCACTAGACAAATGTCTTTATATACATTTAAATTGCCTGAAAATCTTAAATGATTCGGCCAAAACAAATTTAAAAAAAAAAAAAACCTAATCAAATGTAAGTGTAAAACTAATTCGTATTCAATAAAGGATATATTCCATTTTTCGTAATTGCCGCGTTTTCGTTACCAGAGTATCGCCTAAGCTTATTACAAGATCTGACCAATAAGTAATGAGACTGTTTTTTTTCCCACGCTTGTGGTAACACTGCGAATCTGAAACTTCGTTCGGTTAATCTCTCATCCCTCCTCTATCGATACATGTGCTCGCGATTTTCGTACAATAATTAGTTTTCCAGTTGTGTTATATTTTCGACAACATGTTTGTAAGGCGTGTCACAAATATGGAACAACGTAATNCCACGCTTGTGGTAATACTGCGAATCTGAAACTTCGTTCGGTTAATCTCTCATCCCTCCTCTATCGATACATGTGCTCGCGATTTTCGTACAATAATTAATTTTCCAGTTGTGTTATGTTTTCGACAACATGTTTGTAAGGCGTGTCACAAATATGGAACAACGTAATATAAACTTTGTGTTAAACTCGGCGATTCTGTTATGGAAACGTACGATAANTGGAACAACGTAATATAAATTTTGCGTTAAACTCGGCGATTCCGTTATGGAAACGTACGATAAATTGGTGAAAGTGTTCGGTGATGAAGCCCTAAGTCGTGCTCAGGTGTTTCGATGGCATACAATTTTAAAAATGGTCGTGAAAGCGTCGGGGATGAACCGCGAAGTGGGAGACCGGTTGAAGCTCGAACTGACAACAATGTTCAGCGTGTGCGCACTTTCGAGCATCAAGATCGGCGTATAACCGTTCGAATGTTGGCTTATGAACTTAATTTGAAACGAGAAACCGTCAGAAAAATTTTAACTGATAATTTGTCCATGAAAAAGCTGTATGCAAAGATGGTACCTTCATCATGACAATGCTCCATGCCATCGTGCCTTCAGTGTGTCGCGATTTTTGACCTCTAAGAACATCGCAGTGTTGCCACAAGCGCCCTATTCGCCGGATATGTCTCCCTGCGACTTCTTTTTGTTCCCACAAACAAAATTGACCGTGAAAGGAACGCATTTTGAGTCCATAACTGACATCTAGAACGCCGTGACGAGGGTACTTCAGGACATTCCAGTCGAAGCTTTCCAGAAATGTTATGAGAGCTGGAAATAACGTTGGAACCAGTGTATAGGGGTGGGAGGGGAGTACTTTGAAGGGCATCACATCGATGTATCTTAATATTTAAATATACGTATTTTATTGAATTAGTCTCATTACTTATTGGTTAGACCTCGTATGACCATCATAAAAACCTTAGGTAATTAGATTGGGTATACCATAGGTATATGGTAGTATATATTATTTTCTATGTATAATATAATATATTAAGGAGTCTGGGAGAGTTATTGTTGTTATTTAAACATTGTAAATCGAATAAAATGTTATCAAATAATTTTTTTTAAAGGTATTTTTAATATATTTTTTGGCTTAGATTTATAAACACAAATTATATTAGGTATTTAATATTATATATGGTATAAAATAAATACATTTAATAATTAATAAACTGAAAGATCATAAAAAAAAATAATAAAATAAAAAATTACATTTTATAAGGTTAACCCAACAACGAGAAATATTATAGTTCCCCTGCAGTACACGGTTTACATATTATAAAATGCATCATAACATTTTTGGTAAAATATTGTGTACACAATATTTTAACGTCATTGTTTATGCTATAATTTTGTTGTACACGAATATTAAAAAAAAAATTTAATATAAGTACTATTGAAACCTGAACGCTTGTAGTTTATTTGGTACTTTATTTCCCCGCAGCATTGATCATATAATGTAATATTGTGTTTGTAGGTTATCTATACCGCAAAACTCTATGTTCATTTCCATATAAAATAGAGTTACACAAAATAAGCACAGCCTAATTTTTTTTCATTTTTAAAATAACACATATTATGTACTACAACAAAAATTAAACAAACTATAAAGATTTATAGTTTATATGTTTTACATTCTGAGTGTAGCGAAGAAAATATTGGTTTTACAAAGATTTTTTTTTTTATCTGAACACTTTTTATACTTTTAAACCTTACTCCGATTATCAAGTATAGCACCTTTTCTAAAAGGAAATGTTTTCTGGGTAGTACTTAAAATAGGTAATTTTTTTTTAAATTCTCATTAATATTCGAGATAAATAAGGAAACCTAGTTCTTTAGATTAAATAAAGATGGAAAAATTAAAAATGATGACATACTTCGCACGTTGGTGCAAACACTGTTGTAGGTGGGAAGTTAGAGAGGTAAGATTCAGACAGGAATTTAATATATATTTGTAAGCAACGATAAATTATTGCTAACGAAAAACCGATTCTGAGCGGAGTTCAGTTAATAGTGTTGCTTTGTCAACAATACAATATACTATGGTGTATGTCATATTATGGTAAAATGATTAAATCAATGTACGTTTCCATAACAATAATGATTGTTTAAAAAAGACCTAGGATTTCTTCACTATCTCGAATATTAATGAGAATTTCAAAAAATGACTTTTATAAAGTACCACCCAGAGAATATTTCCTCTCAAAAAAGGTGATATACTTGATGATTTAAGTATGCTTTCTGGTAGAAAAAGTGTTCAAATAAAAATAAAAATAATGATAATAAACATCATTGTAAAACCAATACATTATTCATTCCATTCAGAATCTAAAATAATACTGTCATTGGTAACAGGTATTATTTATTTTTTGTTATTGTTAAATTTATATTGTTTTAATATTTTTTGAACAATCATTGTTGTCATTAAAACGCACGTTATTAAAATTATTTTACCCTAATATGGCATAGGTATATATTGTTGACAAAGCAACACTATCAACTGAAATCCGCTCATAATCATTTTTTCATTAACAATAGTTTATCATTGCTTACAGATGTACATTAAATTCCCGTCTAAATCGTAACTTTCCAACTTCCCACTAACAACAGTGGCTGCACCAACGTGCGAAGTAGGTCCGTCTTTTTTTATTTTTAAATAAATACTTTTTAATAACTGTTGTTTAAAATATTAATTTATTTTTTATATTTAAAGAATATTAGTATTTATTTAAAATCAATGAACCAATGAACCAGTATTCACTATCTATTAGTATTATTTCTGATTAATATAGGTAATTACTAGATTTAGAATTTAAAACTTGTTTATTCTTATACTCGTTCTTTTTTTATAAGATAAAATTAAATATAAAATATGTACCTAATCAAGTAGCGTATTATTGTATATTACAAATTTCAAAACATTGAAATTTGTCTATTATAGAATAATTTGTATAATAAATTAATTAATACCACCCAATTCTTCTCAATATTATCCGATAAGTTTAAGATTTTGTCAAGATTCAATTTCAAAATCCAATCCAAAGACCCAAATTATCTTCTAAATAACACCACTATATTCGTATAAGTTATAAAAGGGATTGAATTGAATTTCTACGAAAACCAATGAAAAATGTTGAGAAAGCACATAGTACAATAATTGAATTTCAGTAAGAAATTCAAATCGAATATCGTAAAGTCCTCTAATATTTTTAAATACAGCAATAAAACGATATAATATTTATATAGTAATAAAGTAAAGTAAAATGAGTCGAAGATTCTCAAAATGGTATATAATATTATAATCACAGTAATCACACACACATAACGAATTCTTTGCAGTTGACTCGATAGATAATGCCTATCTGCATTTGAATAAAACGCTATGTGAGTTTACGATTTATGAAAATACCTATCCATTAGAATATTAACCCTCGATACCAAACCGCAAAAATGTTTTCGCGAGGCCATTCACTGCAATGGTGATGGTGTAGTTATGAGAAAGAGGAGGAATATTAAGAATAAATCCCTCCTAATATGTTTTAATATCTAAGTCGGTATACCCTTTTTTGCTTACGTCTTATGTCTAAAGATCTGTAATTTAAATTTTAAAAGTAAAACGTATTGTACGTGACTAATAATTTGTGGTTAGTGAATAAAGATTAAATGTAATTAAATCTAACAGAGAAGACAGTTAAATACCATAATTATTTTATTAAAACAAAAATAAAGATTTTTCCATAAAAAATTTAAAAAATGGATAGTGGTTAAGATACAAAGAGCTAATTGAGTTTAAGCAGTAGTGTCATTGTATAATGACTTAAAAAACAAATTTTAAAAGATCATACGATTTACCACATTCATTAATATATATTAAAATTACTACCTATATACTAACGATATCAACTTACATATTATATTATACTACCAAAAGATAAACGCATTAATACGAATCATTTATTTTTACTGATAATTAATTATAACAATTATTATCTATACAATCTATTTAGTTATTTTTTATTTCACTTTCATTTTTGAATTTATAGGATTATCTAAACTAAATTTTATATAATAGTAATAGGACCATGATACGAAGGACTGTAAATAACAAGTTGTTATAACGAACAACAGCAAGTTTAAACATTATGCACACATTTAATTTATTAAGCACATATTAAAATATGGAAATGTAATAATAATCGTAAAATACGAACGAGCTTTATAGCCGATCATACAACTTCGACGGGTTTCGAATGACGACTAATAAAAATAAAAATATTAGATTACGCTTAGAACGAATGCTCGGCGTATCTTTTATAGCCGACCGCTATCGACCAGTAACTATAGAGTGTATTTTTATTAATTATAACTACATGACGTATTTTACATAATTAAAAGTTGTTCTTCGTTTTTTAATGGGCATACGGCGCTTTATTCGCTCTAAACGCACAACTACCCCTTCACCCCCAAGATTGTGTGGCGAATATAGGCAAATTTTAAAAAATGGTTAAAAATATTTCCAAATCAGTTGCAAAATAATGATATCAGTTTGAAGTCAACAGGTCGATAAACAGAGGTTGCTCTCCCCACCAATTAAATCGGTTTTACGTTTGATATATTTGGTTAAAAATTCTAATAGTTTGATTGTCAATAAATCAAATCAGTTTTGCAAAAAAATGACACCATTTTTGAGTTGATACGTTAATGTAAGAACGCTAACTTCATACAGATGAAAAAAATACTATCTTAAACGGAAACCAGTGATTGACAGAATTTTTTATTGAAAAAAAAAGATTATATATACAGAATAATAACAAAATATAACATTATCAATTATCTATCTCCTTTAAGCTAAGCTTGTATTGAAGATATAGAGTTACAGATTTTAAATACAAAGATTATAGAAGTATTTTCCCGATATCCTATCGAAATTTATTCACTTTTCTGATCATTTTTTTTTCGGTACTCCCCAATCATTATGAAACCCCCTTAGAAAATCAAAAAATTACGTTCTCAATGCACCACTTGTATCCAAATATAATAAAAAAGATTTCTTGTTAATTTTCGAATGGAGCAAGTTTTTTGGACGAAAAATTGCTCAGAAATAAAAAAAAACACATAGTAAGACCAAAAGATTCCTCGCTCCTCTCAAAATCTAAAGCAGTCAACGAATGTCAATAGACCGGGTTTTTTTTTTTGTTATTACCTGTGCTACAAAGGGAAAATTTGTAACTTTTCGATTAAACACTTTAACATCATTTTTTGAACACAATGATTTCTTACTATATCCTATACATTTCAAACGTTTAAAGAACTACAGCGGTAGTCCAGGTTTTTTTTTATTTTTCCAACGGAAATATTATGGAGTCTATTTGACTGTATTAACAAAATGTTATTATAAAATTTTTACGAAATTCGTAAATATTACAGCCTTTCAAAACATTTATAGTCGAACTTCGATCCGTATCTTATTTCGTTAGCAGTGATTTATTGTTGAGTACAGATATAAATTAAATTCCTCTCTATATCCACCT